TGATATGACTCTACACTTCCATCACAAACTCACACTCCACCAGCATGTGATTGATAGATTCTTCTTTCCTACAACAAAGACAACATCTGTTCGCCAACGACCACCCTCTCCTCTTCAGGTTGTCAACAGTAAGAATCTTGTTATGGAACACCATCCACATAAAGAAGCACACTTTACTAGGAATCATTTTCTTCCAAACTTGTTTCAACGGGAAATCAAGCATTCCTGGCAACTTTTCCAGCACTATGTTCCTGTATAGAGATCTCTCCGAGAACTTACTGTTTGGGTCAGGATTCCACACCATTCATTGAGGGATGCTACATCAGAAAGTCTTGCTTCGGAGTCAGCGGCAGCAGCAGCAACGCGGGGAAATGCAGAAGACATCACCATCCCTTGATTCCAAACGTCATGCCAAAATGAAATCATGGTACCATTTCCCGGGTCTATGCTCGCAAACTTCCAAAATAAGTCGAGACCAAGAAGCAGAGGTGAACCATGAATCATAACCATAAAGAAACTAAGGCCAAGCTGAAATCTGGTGACATACACTACAAGAAAATACACTTTCTGCGACGGAACAAAAGCGTCGCAGAAACCCTAAAATCCGTCGCAAATACTTTATGCAACGGATTTTACCGTCGCAGAAGAGAAAAATCTTCCGTCGCCTATACAGCGTCGCAGAAAGTTCTGCGACGAATAAAAACTGGTTCGTCGCAGAAAAACTAAATTCGTCGCAGAAGTTTGACGATTTAGCGACGACCATGTCGTCGCAGAATGGGTATTCAGCGACGAAAATACCTCCGTTGCAGTAAGGAAGGTTATTTGGCGACGAAGTAGTTCGTCGCAGAAAGTTACATGATTTAGAAACGAAAAATTGAATTGGAGTTATTTACAATTTATCTTCTGGGTAATTTCAATATAGGTCACAATTCTTTTCGGGCTATTTCAGTATAGGTCACAATCATTCCCCGGGTTCGTTTTCTGGTTCACTCTTTTGTCAAACCTCAAATCAGCACCTCATCAAACCTAAAAATCAAGATTCCCCCAAATTAAGTGCTTTCAACTCATCCAAAATCCAGATTTGCTAAGTCAGATTTCTTAAACAATTTTAAAAAACAGAGCATATCCCGTTCGGAAGAGCAGATCTGGTCGCCGAAAGAGCAGATCTGGTTTCTTTCATTCGCTTTTCCTGTTCGAAGAGCAGATCTGGTCATCCTTCCCCGATTGGACCCAAATCGTTGCGCCCGGAGCCAAAATCCAGGCCACCTACCGATCTCTTTTCTTCTTGCCTCGTTCGAAACCAAAACCCAGAAGGAAAAATGTCATTATCCATTCTTGAACCAGAAAACGAAAAGAAAAACACATGCAGGCCGAATCTTACCCGGATCTTCACTTTTCTGATCAAGAGGAGCCGATTTACCGCGGCCAAAGCCCAAAACCCTGGCCCCCCGTCGATCTTCCTTCAGCGTAATCGAACTCCGAGGCCACCGGCGATACCCGTTTCTTCCAGATTTCTTTTCTCATCGAGAGGATCATATTTTCCGCCGACGGTTTTAAGGGTTTTGTTGTCTACAAGGGAGAAAAGACGAGAAAGGAAGAAGGTGAAAATTAAAGAATCGAAAGAGAGGAGGAAAAGATGAGTTGTTGTCTACATGGGAGAGAAGACCAGAGGAGGAAAAGATGAGTTGGGCGGCTAGGGTTTTCTACTCACTCCCCTCTCATCCTTTATATACTAAAGGATACTCAATTGACCAAACTACCCTTTCACCATGTCGCAGAACCAAAAAATCATACTCGGGGATTCGAACAGCTAACCTTGAGCTAACATCAACACACAGACAAATGTTTCAACCAATAGACTACTACTAAACCATTTGTTAAATGTAACTTTTCGTTGTTATTTTAGTCAAAGCCTAAGATTTCAAAATCAAAACATTCTGTTAAACCTAATTCCAATTATCCTTGTACGTCTAAATCTTTTAAAAACTTAATCATGTAGAGTTTATGGGACCAAAGCTCAAAGGTTATCTTCAATTAATTTACAAACCAAATATTATTCAATAAAGATATTTAAATAAAATGTCAAGATTTATCAATCTATTAAATAAACATATGTTTTTGTTGCCTTTTATAAATTAAACTTTCTTAATACGAAAATCACAATTCAATTGATTGCGATAAGGTTTTTTTACTTAGTTATGTGCATAGGTACTCATCCACTAAATATTCTTAATTCTCAAAATGGCTCAAACATTCTGCGACGAAAGACGATCGTCGCAAAAGTCTCGAACATCTGCGACGAAAGACAATCGTCGCAGAAAAGCTCAAAATATTCTGCGACGAAATGCATTTCGTCGCATAAGTTTTCACATATTCTGCGACGAAATGCATTTCGTCGCAGAAGTTTTCACATATTCTGCGACGAATATCGCTTCGTCACAAAAGTCTAAAACATTCTGCGACGAAAATATGCGTCGCAGAAAATATCCAACTATTCCGCGACGACGACAATCGTCGTAGAAAGTCCCCAAAACCTTTTGCGACGAAACAATTCGTCGTGAAAAAGAAAAGACCGTCGCAAAATCATATACCCCACCTATCACAGAATATTAACACAATCCGCGACGAAAATACAAAATTCGTTGCAAAATGTTCACTTTCTGCGACGAATTTTATGTCGTCGCAATAGAATCCGTCGCAATAGGAGCATTTTCTTGTAGTGATAATTTCAAGAGCTATCAACCTATCATGATCAAGTTTATTTGGTTGGTAACCAAAATCATATTCTCTCCATACCTTTCTCGTTTCTCCTTACTCAGTGAGTAAGAGATAGGTTCTTGGGTTAGAAAACACCCGGTGCGAGTTGAGGATCCCACGACGGTGAGGTTTCCCTTAAGTCTTTGTATAGAACGAAATAAACAGTAAAACAAAAGATCGAATGGAAGAGGGAAAGTAGTAGGAGGGTGTTGCATAGGCAAGCTCCCACCTATAGTCACCTTATACTAGGTTTGATAGATATCATTAGCAAGTGAGCTACCTGATCCTTGCGATGAGATTTCATCATATCTTGTGTCTAACGTTTATTAGATTAAATAATAAGTTACCAATGAGTCCTACGCATTTCTCTTCTGGGGAGTTGGGAAGTTCAATCGATGGGTGATCGATTGTGAGAGATGGTCGTGTCCACTTTCATCCAACTCAAACTTTGTTGGATATATGGTATGTTGGATATATGCGGATGAATTAGAATCATCGATCATTCTTTAAGAGTATTTGATTTGAGGATTTACAAGTTAGAGAATTAAATCCTAGGATTCAATCATTTGAGTTTCGCGGTCTAGGATTCAATCGTTTGAGAATTTCACGGTTTACAAAAATTAGGATCTAGGACTACACAGTGATCAAGTACCTCCACGAAGAAAATATATGCATGTTTTAAGCTAATTAACAACAATTATTGATCGAGAAAGCATTGAAAGTAATAGAATATTGCATGTTATATAAGATAACGAATTGAGTGTCTTGGTGCAAAAAATCCTGACACAAGCTTTTACACCGAGACTTACACACCTCCTTTGAGGACATGATTCAAAATTAGATAATTTAGCCATCGCTAGTTGATACATCAAATGTTGGGAACTTTCAGCACAATTTTATGATAAATTTATGCAAGATTCAACATTTATAGATAGACTCAGCTGTGAATTTGTAACTCAAAGTATATTTCGCATACATCAACAAATAAGAATCACTAACTTAATACTTCATTTTTTATTGAAAAATTGTCCGATAACAAATGAACATCTCATCGGTATTAGGTTCACACACAACAAATCACGAACATTTCAATTAATTAACATAAACAATAATCAAAACTCAATCAACCAACACAATAAACACACCAAAATATAATAATAGAATGTTGATACGCAAGCCCATTACTTGTCGTCAATTATGACGGCCCTGCATGAAACATGTGCCTAGTGGTCCGTAACAAAGCCCATACCGATATTTTAACTTCATATAATGCAACTTTGCCACCAACCATCAGATACCACCATTTCGGGAATACAATTAATTAAAGGAAAAGGCGAACCCTTAACCCATTTAGTACAGTTTTGTTGTTGTGGTTGTAACACTATTGTGAAAACATTAATACTATGAAAATGAAAAATGTTGGTAAATAGTGAGAAATTATGGAAGTTTGCATTTTTTTTGTGTTAAGTTACTTTATTAGACTCCGTTTAGTATTAATATTGAGAGCAAGACAAAATTAGAAAAAATAATGAGAGGGTGACATGACAAATTATGAGAATAACGAGTGAGAAAAATATATGAAAATAATATTGGCAATAATAAGAATTCGGAGATGAGCTGTGCGAACTCGGGGAGAGAAAATTATGTACAAAATGAGTCAATTAAGATTTGATCATAAATTTTTTTTGAAAATGAAAGTTATTACAACAACTTATATCATATGATCTCATAAGAAATATTTTTATTTTTTGGAAACGACAAGGAAGCTACTTAAATTTATTTCATTATTTTCAGCTAATTTATGTTTGATTGGCGACTCATGTTACCACAACAACAGATGAAATCATAACTAAACATGTCTTCAGTTTTTTTCACATGAAACCGAAAATGACACTAACCAATGCCTCTAGTCTTCACTAGGGTGGAAGAACTTTTCGGTTGACACCGAATCGAATTGGTATTTGGACCGAATTGAATCACATATAACATATGCCGATCCATTTCTTGTTCTATAAATTATTTCAAGTACGATGAAAAATGGGTTGAAATCAAATTTGAACCGGACCAAATCGAATCAAATAAACAAACATACATTTGATCCGATTCTGATCCTTATTTTTTTGCTTTAAATTTGATCATCCAGTCTCATCTCATCAGTTCGATCCGATTATAAACCGAACAGACCGATGCCCACCCTAATCTTCACCAACTCTATTTAATTCCCCCCTCCCACTCCCATACCTCTCACTCCAAAAACCACCTCCTCACTTAGTTCAAAGTCCCTACTCCATCAAATCTCCTAAAATGGAGCTCCTCCAAATCCTGCCACTCACCTTCTCCCCACTTCTCCTTACCATCGCCGCCATCTTCCTATTCTCAATCCTCGTCTCCAAGAAAAAAGCCCATGCCAACAAAAACGGGCCCAACAATGGTACCACGCACCACAACCTCCCGCCGGCACCGTGGAAGCTCCCCGTGTTGGGCCACCTCCACCACTTCCTCACCAGCGCCGAGCCGCCCCACCGCCGCCTCCGCCAGCTGGCACGAGCCCACGGCGACGTCATGCAGCTGGACCTCGGCGAGATCAGCCACGTCGTCGTATCGTCGGCCGAGGCGGCGAAGGAAGTGATGCGGACCCACGACATCAAGTTCGCGCAGCGGCCGTTCCACCCTCACCAGGCCAAAATCATGTACGGCGGCATCAACCTCATCCACTCCCCCTACGGCGAGTACTGGCGCCAGCTCCGCCGCATCGCCACCCTCGAGCTCCTCACCGCCAAGCGCGTCGACTCCCTGCGCCGCGTCAGGGAGCCCGAGGTGCTGGCCATGGTCAGCACCATCGCCGACGCGGCCCAGTGTACCTCAGGTAGAGGTGGTGGCAAATTTATAATCCGATCCACCAATTCACTCAGATTCATATCCACTTAAATATCCAACTAACTCAAATCCATTTAAATCCAAATCTAATTGGATCGATGGATTTATGGGCCGATTTCGTGGGGTTTTTGGTAAATTACAGTTTAGCACTTATATTTTTATCCTTCACGATTTAGTACCTAAAATTTATTTTTTAATATGAAAAATATAATTGAAAAATCGTATAGTACCCGCTAGAAAAATCTCGTAGTCGGTATTTAGAAGAATGAAACTGTTGAATCGCAGTTAAACTTAAAACACGCTTTTAGCATGTTGCTGATTTTTCCAGATACAATATTTCAATCTTTGAAAGAAAAAAAATTTGCATTTTGGTACATAATTTTTTTATGATATTTTAGTACCTAAACGTTTCAAAATTGTCATATTGGTCCAAATCCTGGACAGTCGTTTGGATTCACGAACCAATCCACCAGTCCATTTTAATCCATAGATCTACCAATCTTATCTTCCCACCAATTTATGAATCCAATCCATTTGCCACCTCTGCCGCGCATGCAGGTGAAGCAGCCACCGTCGACCTGACCAGGGTGTTGTTCGGGCTGTCGTACAGCATCATCTCGAAGGCCACGTTCGGCGACGTGTCGGAGGAGCAGGAGGAGTTCATCGCCATCGCCGAGGCGCTGGTGAGGCACGGCGGCGGGTTCGGGCTGTCGTTCCTGTTCCCGTCGAGCGGGTTGGTGCAGAGGCTGTTTGGGGTGAAGGAGTGGCTGGACAAGATGCATGAGGGCACCGACCGGCTGGCGGAGAGCATTATCCGGCAGCATCGGGAGAAGAGGGCGGTGAGTAGGAAAGCCGAGGATGAAGAGGATTTGCTGGATGTGCTTTTGAATCTACAGGAAGATGAGACCACGCTAGGGTTCAACTTGTCCACCGAAGCCATCAAGGCTTTCCTTCTGGTAATTACTAATCACCTTGTTCATCGTTGATTCAAGTGTTAATTAAGCATAATCCTCATGGGTTTTGTTGGGTGGTGAGGGTATTAATGTAATGAAGATACGTTGGTAGAAACATCTATGCATAGAATTGATCACATTCAACTCGGTCATAACGGGTAAAACTTATTGTTGACGGCTTTTGGGTTAAGGCCCGCTTTGGAAATGGGCAGGTTGAGCAAAATCCAATCCGCTTCCGATCAACCCACACCCCAAATACAAAAAAAAAATGACTCCATTTTTTATTATTCAACATGAAAAATATGGATGTTATTATGGTAATATAAACCGAAAAATATAGATAATTTATGGACGTTCGTGGTCTTTATAAATATATATGTGTAAGAAATTTTTTTGATAATATTATGATATGTGCTTGAAGATTTCATGTATAATGTAACTATGTTTCGTAAACTCATGATTACTAGTTCAGTTGACCTGACTTTGCTCTTCTAAAATCCAATTAGTATTTTACGTAATTATAACACCGGCTAGATTGAATTATTGGTGTTTAGAAAATCCGACCCAACTCAACCCATTGACGACGTACATGAAGGTCGCTTTAAGATATTGCTGCTGCCTCGGTACTCGTTACTTTGATTCCTTGTTTGGTAGCCAAAATACAAAATTGCATGCAGGCAGTACTGCTCGGTATGGGTAATGTCAGTACTCATTGCTAGCTGTAGCTATGAGAATTTTTCTTAATATTGTTTTTATCTGTGAGAAAAAATAGATTAAGATGTTCAATAGTTTCTAATAATGAACAAATAATTGATTAGGACATGATTATATGTTAGTTTATTAGGGGTATTTTCATAAAGTTAGTGCATAAATAAGATCTGCGGGGATCTTTGATGGGACACACGCACACAAAGGATAACTCTAATCAATATGATTTTCTGCATTATTTGGTTGTTGAAATCACACACATCAAAGCAAGGGTCCTCCTCCTCCTGACCTGACTTGTCCACTAACAAAATATTATACGAATTAGATTCAGTCATATTATTAAACATTAGAAATTATCGTGTAGGCCATGTAAAATCAGAGTAATAATTTCTTTTTGTCAATCATGCATGCAGGATATTTTCTTAGCCGGGAGTGAGACCCCCTCGTCGCTGACCGAATGGGCGATGTCGGAGATGATAAAGAATCCAGAAGTACTGCAAAAGGCGCAAAACGAGGTGAGGAAAGTGTTCGGCGAAAAAAAAAGGGTGGATGAAGCCGGGATTCGCGACCTGCCCTACTTGAAAATGGTCATCAAGGAGACGTTGCGCCTGCACACTCCCGCGCCGCTGGTACTTCCCAGAGAGTGCAGGGAGGAGTGTCGGGTCGGCGGGTTCGACGTCCCTCTGAAGACCACGGTAGTTGTGAATGCCTGGGCCATCGCGAGGGATCCTCGTTACTGGGGGGACGAGGCGGAGAAGTTTTGTCCGGAGAGGTTTTCGAACACCGAAGTCACCTTCAGAGGTGGGGACTTTGAGTTCCTCCCGTTTGGGGCGGGGAGAAGGATGTGTCCTGGGATGACGTTCGGGCTGGCGGCAGTGGAGCTTCCCCTCGCCAATTTGTTGTACCATTTCGACTGGAAGCTCCCCCATGGGGTCGAGCCGGCGAATTTGGATATGGAAGAAATATTCGGCATCACTGTGAGGAGAAAGAATCATCTGGAACTAATTCCCGTCCTTCGTAACCCGGTACCCACCGTGTAATGCGTACGTACGTTGTCACTAGAAACTCATCAACCAATGAGACAACTCCGTGACACGTAAATGTACTTTTTAAGTGTTTTCAAGAATCTTTTTATGGTAATTGTTCTCCGTAAGCTTAAACCTAAAAATGTGATTGGATGATGTCATTCACACATTGTTGGTGTGAAGTACGTGGTTTTTTAGTTTGGTAAGAATAAAATGTGTTGTATCTTTAAAAAAAAAATATTAAAGTAGATTTGAGGATACGACCTTTTTTTATGTCAATCTTTGTGTTCTACCCGTGATTCTCGGCAATTACACTGTAATTGGCGTTTTTTTTTACAGGTTCTGCACTGGCATTACAGTTACGATGCAGACCCAATTTGTTATTATAGTGTTAAGATGAGTTCCCGTCAATACTCAATAGGAACAATCCATAATTTATTAGCGACTTAGTTTCAGCTAAGTGTGTTTTTTAAGCGGTTAACCGCTAACTGACTAATCAATTAATGATTAACCAATAAGAAAACTGATAACCGCCTACTAGTATAATCACATATTTTGTGCTTTGGCTAAGGGAAAAAGTCACAAGATTAACAACCAACTAAAGTCACAATTCCAAACATCTCAATTCACATCGAATGCAGAAAATCCTCCACCTAAAGTCTCAAATATGTTTAAGAGTCAGAACCTGAAATTCACCACTCTGTGACACCCATTTGGAATCGATAGTGCGAACATCGCACCCTAATAGCGTTTTGTTATTTGATGTTTATGATGGTGTTTATCATTGGGTGATTGTGCCTGCGTTTGATGTCTTACTAGTTCATTCTCACTAATTGGATAAAGATTTTTTTATTATATGTTGAATTTTGAATTTGGAATATGAATTCGATGTTATATCTTATAACTATTATTTTATGTTGACAACGTAAAAGTGTAATTAAATTTTATTGAATAGTTTACATTACACCATCAATAATTTCACTAAGAAAAATGCCAGAGAGGTTGTTATTGGTTAGTGGGTAGCTATCAAACCAACCGTTGATCGAATCGATAACATGTGGTTTATTGATAAGATTTATCAGTTCGATTATGCATTTTTTGCTTCATGTTTGGGCGAGTAAAATGGCTTGTTTTAAGTAGTTATTATGAGTGACAATCTGTTTGATTTTGGTTAACCACTAACCTATTTTGACAGTTCATGGTTCACTAACTACCAAATAAGTTAGTGGTTAACTGAAACAAATGCTATTACCATCCTTACCAACTACTCAAACCGAGCATTTTTACCCGGTTCACTACCGTTCGGGTTGATTAGTGACCGAAACCGAACATGTTGCCACCCATACCAACTACTCAAACCGAGCCCTTCTACTCGCCCAAATTAGGTCTCGCGCGCCGCTGCTTTGCGCTGAAATTTCTTGCTTCACTTCACTCAAAATGCTCGAAATGGGCCGCTCTCTGCTGTTCGGAGTTCTTCATCGCTCAAATTCCTTACCTTCCAATTACGCCGCTTTCGCGTCTCTCGCTATCGCCCACCCTCGCAATTTCACCAGCAATGGAGCTTCTCAGGACCCATCAACCTTTCCCACATCAATCAGTGGAGCTTTGGACCAATTCCATGACGGGAGGAAAAACCTCACCCCGCAACTTCCACCCGACGAAACGATCATCAGAAACACTGACAAAGTCTGCAAATTGCTGTCCAAAGAGTCCAACAACCCCAACAACTTGGAGAGGTTGCTCGACGAGGCATCAATACAGGAGCTCTCGCCGACTCTGGCGCTGGAGGTATTGAAGCGGCTGAGCAACGCAGGCGTTCTCGCGCTATCGTTCTTCAGGTGGGCGGAGAAGCAGAAAGAGTTTCATCACAGCACGGAGAGCTACAATGTGCTGATCGAGTCTCTGGGTAAGATCAAGCAGTTCAAGCTGGTTTGGACTCTGGTCGATGATATGAAGCGCCGAGGGTTGTTGAGTAAAGAGACGTTTGCCCTGATTTCGAGGAGGTACGCGCGAGCCAAGAGGGTGAAAGAAGCAATCGATGCATTTGAGAAGATGGGCAAGTACGGGTTCAAGATGGAATCCTCCGACTTCAATCGGTTGCTCGACACGCTGTGCAAGTCGAGACAGGTGGAGAGTGCACACGAGGTGTTCGACAAAATGAAGAAGAGAAGGTTCAAACCTGATATCAAGTCGTACACGATATTGCTGGAAGGCTGGTGCCAGGAGAAGAATTTACTGAGGTTGAATGAAGTTTACATGGAGATGAAAGACGAAGGGCTTGATCCAGATGTTGTTACCTACAGCATTCTTCTGAATGCGTATTGCAAAGTCGGCAAATATAGCGAGGCGATCAATTTGTTCCACGACATGGAATCGAAGAACTGCAACCCGAATCCTCACATCTTCTGCACATTGATCAATGGGCTGGGGTCAGTGAAGAGACTGAAGGAAGCGATAGAGTTCTTCGAGAGGTCGAAAGCTTGTGGGTTTGCTCCAGAGGCACCTACATACAACGCTGTCATCGGGGCATACTGCTGGTCGTTGAAGATCGATGATGCTTTCAGGACAGTTGATGAGATGAGGAGGAGTGGGGTTGGTCCGAATTCGAGAACTTATGATATAATTCTTCACCATTTGGTGAAGAATCGAAGAACAGAAGCGGCATACTCTGTGTTCCAGAGGATGCGAAGCGAGGCTGGATGCGAGCCAACGTTGAGTACGTACGAGATTGTGGTGCGGATGTTCTGTAATGAGGATAAGCTAGATATGGCAGTGGAGGTTTGGAACCAGATGAAGGGCAGAGGTATTCTTCCTGGCATGCATATGTTCTCTAAATTGATAACCACCTTCTGCCAGAACGGGAAGGTGGACGATGCTTGCAAGTACTTCCAGGAAATGCTGGATGTTGGTATTCGGCCTCCTGCAGCATTGTTCAGCAATCTCAAGGAGACTCTTGTGGAGAACGGTCATAAGGTCACTGCTTCGAATCTAGCAGAAAAGATGCGCAAGCTCAGGAAAACGCCTTTGGATGCATCACTGCTCACACCAACAACAGACTGAGATACGATTTTAGCTTGTGAGTTCCACTCTAAACCATAAACTCCTGTCACTGAATTCCTACTATCTTTCAGAAGGACATGGAGTCATCAACTGTTGATTGGATCTGCATACTCATGACTAGGTACCTTTCCGTTTTGGAGGCGGATTTTTTGAGTAATTCTTCAGCTACTGAGTCCCATGGTTAACTCTGTAACACCCATTATGTAATTTATTGATCTTCACTGCTGAAATTCGAAAGGATCTCTCATATCAATAGCCAAAACCTGTTGTTACAAATTGTCTCTCGCAACTAGAACAAAAATATAGTGTTCCCGGCTTCCCGCCTAAAGTTACTTATTGGCCTACTGAATTTCTGTTGTTATCTGTCAACCGTTGAGGATCATTTTGGGTGGTCTGGATCTTGATACACAAAATGAAAGGAAGAACCATTTGGAAATTCTCATAATCTCAAGTAGGATCCTGCCATCCTGGTTATGGAGAAAGTTTCTGAGACTTAGACCTTGGTTCCAGTTTAGACTTGAGGCAGATGGTAATAAAAAATGCAGTCAGTTGGGAAGGGCAGTCTTGCACAAGTTCTCTATCAAAACTGTATGGAAGTCAATAAGACCCAGAAAACAGAGAGTTGATTGGCACAAGATGCTATGGTGGAAATATGTGGTTCCAAAGCACAGGCTTCTGATTTGGCTTGTGATCATGAATCAAAATTAAGATGAGTGAAAACTTAAAAGGCTTGGGGCTGATTGATTCGGATGCTCGTCTGTTGTGCAACAGGGGACCATTTGTTTTGTAAATGTCAGTTCTCCATTGGAATAGAACGTTGGAGGTAGTTTGTAGCCTTGCTAGGCCAAGAACAATGGATGGCAGCTTAGTAAGGAGGGTCATGGTGCTTGTATGTTTCTGTACTCTAGTGTGAAAGATGCAGCAGAGTTTTCCGGTCTACTCTCAGAAGTACAGCGGAGGATTGTTGGCTCGAGATTTTCGAGTAATGTGTACGAGAGTTGAGACTTGTTTACTGTTTAGTACTGTGTAGAGGGTATTGCAGCATTAAGACTTGTGAGAGTGGAGCTTTGTTTAGGAAAGCTGGGTAAGAAGGTAGCTAAAGAGACCACTCAAGCAAAGAAATGAAATTCTGGAACCAACCCAATTCTGGAACTAGCATATGTAAGATGAAGAAGTATTATATTGATTGGCTGCTGCTGGGTAATAATAGGCACCCTGAAAACGAGGAACAAATGATGATGAGATGCAGACGAGAAGGAAAAAAGCTTCTACTACGCCTATGTCCTTAGCCTGGTTGGTGCGGCAGAAAGTGATGCTGAAATTCAGCGTTTTCTTGCGGGAAAAGGCAAAAAATTAAAGTCAGACAGACGGAGAGCTTACCCTTAACCCCGTCGCACAAGCTAAACACTCCCACCGCGCATTGCGCATTTATTTCTTCATCACTGCTACTTCAACAACAACAAGAAGAAGAAGAAGAAGATTTATGAATGCAACGTTACGCAATTAGTATTTCTTCCGAAAATAAAAGAAGCCAATGCAGATAATTTTATTTTTATTTATGCGAAGAAAAAGGATGTGGTCGAGATAATACAGAAATGAAAGAGGGCGCAGCGGCGTCATTTTCTTTTATACAGTTCCACACTTCCACACTGGTTTTAATTACACAAGGACACTTGTCTCCTTAATTAAATTCCCTCCCCGCCAATTGCGCCCAAAGCACTGCTCCTCCCTCTCCCAAATTCCCGTCTTTTATCCCTTCTATATAAGTCTGAGTTAAAAAAAATACTCAACAAATTTATTAGAGTGGCCGATTAATCGTATTTACAATTTTACTTGTGGCCACTAATGAATTTTTTGTGAAATAATATAAGATGTGAAAATCGAACCCCGATAGTTTGTACATCGTACCAAAAAATCATCAAGCACACACATCTTAACAAAGTTGGCATTGTTAACCATTAAAAAAAAAGAGAGAGAGAGAGAGAGCAAAAACAAGTTTACTTTGTTGTCATTTGACATGATCATGTGCTATACATTAATTATGATCATGACATTAATCTCATAGCAGGATTATCTTATCTAATACCCGATCGTGTATTATCCGCCATCAACACAGGTCCACCATACTACAAATCACATATTATCCGCGCCATCAACACAGGTCCGATCATGTAATACCCGATAGGACGGGTTCAAATTCTCATCGCAACTTCCAGTAATATAAAAAAAAAACGAAAAAGAAAGAAAGTGAATAAGTAACAAAAACAAATACATAAGAACAAGACTAGATTCTTCCAAAAGAGCTACCTGCAAAGCTGATGGGGATATCTTTTTCTCTATAAATACAGAGACAGGAGCTCGCGCCATCCATAAGTGCAACATTTCCAGAGACCATCATATCCTCTTCTCCCTCTCTTCTTCTCTTCTCCAGTAGCGGGAAGCTAAGAAGCTTCTTAAACATGGGAGCTCTGGACTCTCTTTCCGATTTCGTGCACGACTTCTTCGCAGTCGCCAAGCAGAAGAGGAAGCGCAAGCCTCTCCAGGTACGTACGTACTACCTGTGATCAAATTCATTCATTTGCAGTAGATATGATCTCGTCGTTATGGTCATAAATTTTGGTTATTTTGTTGCACGTCGTCGTCGGCTGGGTTTGTTGATTCTTCTTCTTCTTTCTTTTCTTGTTGGGGTTAATTCGCAGACGGTGGAGATCAAGGTGAAAATGGACTGCGACGGCTGCGAGAGGAAAGTCAGGAACGCTGTCTCCCACATGAAAGGTTTAATTTCCTCCTCTTCTTGCTCCCTATGCCTTTCTTATTCCTTGAAAGCGATCCATCTTTGCTTTTTTTATTAGAGTATGGGTAGTACGAGTAGTATTATGTTATACTACGAGTACTGTTATGTAATTGAGAGAGTTATATTCCTGATCGGAGTCGTAGAAGTTAGGGTTTTTTTTTCCGTATTAGTGTTAAGAGTTATTATAGAAGTCCGTCTCTGTACTCTATATAAACCCTATGTGATTTTATAGTAATAATAAACAACAGTTCCCACCGTATTCCGGTGTTTCAACATGGTATCAGAGGCTGGTTGAGAAAACCTAACTTCTACGACTCTGATAAGGAATATAACTCTCTCAATTACGTAACAGTACTCGTAGTATAACATAATACTGCTCGTAAGGAAAAAAAAAAAAAAAAAAACCTGACGCTAACCTGACCTTGTAAATAAACTGACCCAACACCGTCGTTCTCTTAATATTGTGTTTCAACGAATTTGTTAATAAATGTAACGCCGGTCGCCGGCATACACATATGCAGGAGTGAAATCGGTGGAAGTAATCCGGAAGCAGAGCCGGGTGGTGGTGACGGGACACGTGGAGCCGAACAAGGTGCTGAAGAAGATACTGAGGACGGGGAAGAAGGCCGAGTTCTGGCCCTACGTCCAGTACAACCTCGTCGCCTACCCTTACGTCGCCGGCGCCTACGACAAGAAGGCGCCCTCCGGCTACGTCAGGAACGTCGTCCAGGCGCTCCCCAACCCTTCCGCACCCACCGGCGCCGGCGAGCACTTCACCACCATGTTCAGCGACGACAACCCAAACGGTTGCTCCGTCATGTAGAAATAAGAAATTGCTTTTTTTTTGTTATATATATATATATATATATATATATATATATATATATATATATATATATATATATATATATATATATATATATATATATATATATATATAACTATATATTGCCTTCCCAGTTGTCCTGCTGTTGTTGTTCCAGCTAGCTAGCTAGCTACTTTTCATTACTTTTTCCAGGTAAATTAATTAATGTGCTTCCAGTTATGTTAAATGTTTTAGAAATCGTACCTTACCATTCAATCGGACCAAGAATACTGGTTAATACACTCAGAATGTTAGTATTTTTAGCGCGGTATGAAACCGTTGAAATATGAAGAAATCATGGTTTTAGTACAAGATACTTCATTATTAATTTGACTTTTTCGATGTAACTTGTTGTACGATTTCATAATTTTTGGTTATGCGTTGTATTTTTTTTTTTTTTTTTTTTTCCTCCCGCCCTAGGAGGGAATCCGCTGGATGTGGGGACTGTGCACTCAAATGTAGATAGGAAGGTTCTTTCTGCTTTAAAAATTCCCTCCCTTTTCCTCCTAAAGGTAGTTTCGACTTTCGAGTAGGTCGTGGATTCATTGCTTAGCTTGTACAGTTATGCTCCGATAGTGGTTGTACGTTTGGCCTTTTCCACACTGATCTTTGGGAGGGTTAAATAATTAATCGAGAGATTTCTTATTTGGATTAGTTGTGTTGTGTATTAATAGTTGATTTCCATGGTAATATATTGTAAATTTGTACAGACTTCAAATTCATAATTTCATGGTTGGGGTGTAAAAAAAAATTATATCGTCAACTATATATTTGGGCTTTGGACCCAAAATCCTAACCAAGCGCAAAAGATAATCGTATCATTTTGGTTCTCTATGAAATAAATAAATGCTTGCTGTAATTCAGATCGGCGTGGACGCTGGTTCGTGGTAGAAACAAGACCACATGTCAGAAGACTGAGTCAACAGGTATTGAACAAGTTCTATTGGACTAGGTGTGTGTTGTCCACATAAACAACGCTACAAGTAATACTTTACTCCTGTACGTACTACTCTACAAAGTTCTCCTCCAATATGCTTTTTATAATTTTTAGATCACGTTTGTTTGTCGTTCTACTATAATGATGTTATCAAACTTGTCCCTCCATCTAAAATGTAAGAATATTGTCAAAAAGAATTTTGAATGGATGGTCACATTTGATAATATACTACAAGGAAAAAATGATGTGAAGAATTATAGAGGGTACGTTTTGAGAACTTTACAAAGTAAATGGACAAAATATACATATAACCCAAGTCATCAAATCATTGTTATATATTTTGACATTCTGAATAACAGAGTTTTTGATAGAAGGAAAAGATGAGCTCTTTGAATAAAAAATCAATAATATGTACTTTACATGAATTTTGTTTGACATAAAAAAATAAACAAGAAATCAAGTGATGATGATGAGGACGAATAAAACAGGAATCAAAAGGTGGGGGAGAGTTATGGAAGGTTGGAATCCATATGGGCTCAGGTCATCTGGTCATGCAAGCAATGTTTACAGAGATTCCAAATCACTATCAATCTCGACCAAGGTTTCACCGGAGATTGTAGTGGAATAATCACGGGTACGATAATTTTTTGCTGAAATTATAATCAATCATTTCATATAGTTGAATACAGGAAAATTTAATCTGCTAACTTGAAGATTCGTTAGCAGATATTAACTGATATCCAAAATACATGAACTAGTATCCAAGTACTAAAGTATCTAAAGACCACAGACTAGTATTCAAAGTTTGCTAACTGATATCCACCATGAATCAACTATTATCCCAAATTCACAAAATAATATCTAGACAATACAGAATAGTATCCATATAGCACATAATTAGTATCCAGATAACACATAAGAGTATCCATATTGAATACTAGTTGGTTGTTTGTGGATATTAGTTGGTATATGCTATCTGGATACTAGTTTGTGATGTTTTGAATACTAGTCTGTGCTATCTAGATACTCAGCAGACTTGGATATTAGTTCATACATTTTGTATGTTAGTTAGTATATACTAACGAATTTTCTAGTTAGCAGAATAACTAGGCTGGTTGAATACCGTCAATTAATTTAACCTCCCGTAAAAAAAATATTGTAGAACAATCGTTAGTATACGGTGTTTCAATTCTTGAAGTTTCTGTTCCCTAATCTGAAATTTTGGAAACGTGGCAATTGAGTTCCCATAGAGCTAAAGTGAAGTGGTCACCAGAGGATAAAAGGAGACGGTGCTGTTCTTCTAATTTCTTGTCAAGATTCTCTTGTTGGGTTTGGCCTGCTACTGGTTTACTGCTTTTTTTTTGGACAAAAGGCCCATAACTTGCATGATAAGATTAAGAATGAAATTCTTCATGTACTCTTCCTGCCGATCAAAAAATGTTCTTCCCCAACTTTTTTCTGGTTGAGCTTTATCGATTCTGTTCATGTATCTCCTTTTCTTCAAGTCAAAGGAAGAAAAAAAAAATCGATGATTCTGAAGCTCTAAAGTTGTCTTTCACCATTAGATAAAAGAAAATAGGATTAGGTGTCGAATGCTGGCAGTTTTATAGGCTTACAAAGTTACTCTCAATCTTTAGATGTAAATGAACGAGAAGAAATTAAAGGGGACAAATTTGAAGATCAATAATGATATAAATAAATAATTGATGAACAATATTAGAGCACACATTTACATATCATCAAGTGTCTCCTGATCAGACAATGAATATAAGATTAACTTGGTTTAGCAAATTATATTTCCTTTGTTTTAATTTTATTTAAAAAAAAAACCGAAATCAAATTAATTATGTTCAACAAGATATGTTCTAATAATGTGTGTGCCACACAACATAAATTTGAAGTGCGTATTAATCTTGCCCTATGACAATGAAACAGAGGTACTCCGAGACCGAGAGTACCCAATAATTTCTCAAAATAGAATACAACGATTAAGCTCCACTACATAAAAGTTAAATCAGGTGCGAGGCTAAATATGGAATTGTAATAAAAAAATAGAGAGAAAAAAAAACTCTCCTGTGACTAATAATTTCTCACCGTGATATCGATCAAACCTTCAACTTTCCACTCTGTAACTAACTGTATAGCAGCATGCCTTTGGATCTCACATATAAACTGTTGTATGTATAACGTGGGTAAAGATGATAAGCCGCCATTGTTGTGGAAGCTTAACCCGCAGTTTATTTACCGCATTCTCACGCTGTTCATCTTCTCAGCATCAACACAAGAACCGGAAGTCAGACAGAGAGCAGCTATGTAATGCAGTCAATATCATCATTGTGATGAGAGCCTCCAGACGCGAACGAAAGCATCCTCGCCGGAGCTGACCACGGTGCAATCGTCGGTGAACGCCAAGCCGTAGACCCCGCCTAGATGAGCCAGTTTTATGGTTATACGGTTCGCAACCGGCTGCCCGATTTCGTAAACGATCACACATGTGTCCAGAGAACCAGTAGCCACAAACGTGCTGCCAGGAGACCAGGCAAGGCAGTTGATCCGTGCAGTGTGGTACAACATGTTGTTCAGCTTAACCTGCAACAACAATACCACCACATTCAATAAAAATGTTCGATTCTAAGGCTAAAACAGAGTTATGAGGATGCTATACCTCTCTGGAAGAACGATCCCATACAACAGCTTCACGATTGGAATCAGCGGAAGCAAACATGGACACATCGGGGGAATACCGGATCACAGTGATGGCACCTCTGTGCTTCTCAAGAACAGCTTCTTCAGTCAGTGTATCGCCCGAGACAGAGTAGATGTGCAGCTTCCCATCCTTTCCACCAATGATGGCTTCGCTTCCGTCGGGTGTTATTGCACACACTGTGGCCACGAAGTCGAGCTTCGTGGTCGACAGGACTTTCAAACCGCCGAGCAAGATAGCAGTTGATTCGGTCGAGACCAAAGCCAACGCAGGCGAATTCAAGGCGAGGCATAAGCCCATCGGCTGGCTACCGACATCAACAGCCTCAAATGCACCAGAGTTGTCATTCCCTTGTAGACCCATTCTATGCACCTAGAATGTAACTAACTGGTTGAGCTAAACATTGGCCTACATACTGCAGTGGTACTTAAAAAGAATGGAAGTTTACCTTGTTATCGAATCCGGATGTCATGATCTGATCTTTCGCAGCTGCCAAGCACTTGATCTGGGAATTGTTCCCTCTCTCCAATCTACCAGCATAACCAATACCCTGAACCCATTTGATAATGTGGCCATCGTAGCTGCTGGTCAAAACCGTCTTCTGTTCATCGTTTTCCAAGAGTGTCAATGCCGTGACATTCTTCATGTGTCCGGACAACAAGGTTGGAGCTTTCTCAAGATCACTTGCAGAGAACAAGTTGATCGCCCCGGAGAGCGAGACCACGATGAGATGATCGTTCATCCAAAGGCATCCAACCAACATATCTTCAACCCCACCGGAACTAGGACAAGTCAGTGTCTTCACCACAGTTCCTTTCCCATCCTCAGAAATCTCCCATACTTTAGCAGACTTATCGGCCGAAGCAGTAAGCACCTGGATGATGATGGTAAATGGCATAACGATCAGCTGAAGGTTTTGAGCTTATAATCGGATTCAATTGGAGAGAAAATGGTCAGTAATTGTGGTTCGGAGTTCGGACCCGCTTACTATCTGGGCTCCAACTAACGGCATAGATGCTCCCCGTATGAGCATCTTCATGGGACAATTCTCCAATGATCTCACCAGTCTTGCCATTGTAGATCAACCCTTTCTTGTCCGAGCTCACGGTAATGCACTTGCTTCCATCTGGTGAAAATCTCACGCAATTCACAAAGTTGGAATGCTGCCTACATCCACGCAATGGCGAAACTCACATTGTCATCTCTCGTTTGAAAATGTGGATTTTCAAGAAAGAAAATTGAAAAGAGGGATTTGGAAAGCAATTAAACCTGTGAGAGTGCATGAACTTAAATGGAGGGCCTTCGTAGAAATTCACTACGAAATCCTCCCCACAGCTAACAATCCTGAACGGCCGCGTCGGCTTGAACGCACAACTCAACACTCGCTTCGAATGTCCGTCGAATTCCCCCACAGTGCTTCCCGAATCCCACCTTCACAAAATCCGCGAAACAAATTGCTCGCTCAAGAACTCGTTCAAATTCGAAATTAGGGTTTGATGGTTAAAAGAAAGGGGGGAAATTAAGATAATCGAGAGGGGGGAAACTCACACGAAGGCACGTACGAAGGATTTTCCCTTGCCATCGCCGGAGACGACGATCCTCAGTTGATCCGGGGACCATTGTAGATCGTCGATTCGGCCGGAGAGGACGCGAAACTCGTTGTGGAGGACGAAGTTGTTGTGGACGCCCCAGATCCTCACGGTTCCGGAGGTGTCGGCAGACGCGATCCACTCGCCGTTGGGGGAGTAGCGAGCGACGGTGACAGGGTAGCCGTGCTCGCCGTAGACATCGACTTTGAGGGGCTGGTCGAGGTACCTAATGATGACGGAGCGGCCGTTGGTGTAGAGGATGGTGTTGGATTTGGCGTCGCCGGAGATTAGAATTCCTCTCCCGCGCTCCGTCGACGGGGAGGATGCGTAGCTTTCGATTACTTCTGCCATCAGAGAAGAAGAAGAAGAAGAAGAAGAAGAAGAAGAGGAGATTTGGGGAAATGCAGGGGAGGGAACGAAATGTTTTAGCGCTGAAAGTTTTTTTTTTGTTGTTTTTTTATGTAGTTTTATTTTGAAAAAGAGAGGAAAGGGGCGGGATTTGAGGGGTAGATTTTGGAACAGTTTCTCATGCATCAATTGGGCTCCATGGGCTTCACGTTTCCACTGGGCCGAAAAAATTTGAACGAAAAAGCTTTCAGGTAGGCCCAACTTGAACTTGACTCCGTTGAATTTATAACCTCAAAAGGTGAAAAATTACTGTAGTTTAGGGTTTATGTGAATTGTTTTTTTTATGCTTTTTGCATGAAAATTGTGTCCCAATTTTTGGATTCCGATGTCAATACTATTCCGAAACATTTTTTGATCGTTAGATTTAATGGTCAACTAAATGACAGTCAAGTGAAAAATAGAAAGTATTAGTATTACTCTCTTGAATTTATTTTGTTTTTTGGCAATTTGTGCAATTTATAATTCCTTTTGTTTTTGCAATATGTGTTTTATTTCGGCATAGATGATTTGAGAATATTTTAATTGACATGTGTTAGGTACACTATTTTCATTCATATAAGAATTTTTTTTGTTCTTTAAAGAAATACGAAGCATGTTTGATATTGTTTCTGAGCAGGTTCACAATCCGAAATGAACCGAAACCTGACCCAAAAGTTTTTGGGTCGGGTCAATAACAAACCCAAAATCAGCCAACCCAAAATGACCTAACCCATAATGACCTGCAACCCGAGATCCCCAACCTGACTCGATTGCCCAGTCTAATTTTGTTGGACTACAAAACTAAGGGATTTGTACTGGAACTTGCGCCTAAGAAGTTGGTGTTCATAAAAATATAATGATAATAACAACGATGTCCTGTTTATGTGTCTTCCATTTATAGAAAAGGTTACCCTAAATTGATTAGTTCAACCGAAGTTATAGGAAGATTAGCATATAAATATTGTGTCTGATTTTGTGAGCATAACACATTATCCTACTCATAAAAGAGTGATCAACAGACTTTTACAAGATCACCATTCACATGGCTCTAGATTTGCGCATAGCCATATGCTTCATTTTGATTGCGAGTTTCGTAATTGGAAGTCAAGCTTCCAATGCTAGATATTTCCCTCAAGAGATATCTACTTCCTCAAGCCAGGATCAACCAGACGGTTATCGTAGACATTGGTGTTGTAATTGGTGGATAGGTTGGTGTTGTCACTTGTCACCCACCCTCTCATAGTGATCCACAGTATAAAAAGTTATTACAAGATTATCAATGTTACTCTACTTATTTTGTTTTGCTGCAACTATCAACAGGAATAATTAGTTTGAGTTGTTTTATGTTGCTCAAAGGAATGTAATAAAATTGAATAAAATTTTTGAATTTTTTTGTTAGATTCAATTTTGAAATTTGGATATTCTATCATTGTTTGATCCTCATATTTTCTTTTTATCCATAAATGTGCAACTATCGCATATTCGGTGCCAGTTTTCTATGGGATAAATCTATCTTTTCAGCAAAAGGGGCAAAACAAGTAGCTCTCGATAAGGATTTAGGATTCTCTGGATCAAATCTTGAACTATTGATCATCTACAAAATATACAAAGGAAATTCATGGATTTGATTTCTTCCATTTCGAAATTGCTGCCATGGCCTGTGAGTGATTTTTGGATGCACGTTAACCTTATGGTTTTTGCACAAATGAAAATATATGTTACTGTGTGTTTTCGTTTATGCAACCCAATTCTCTGTCTAACTCATGGGCCAGACGGAATGGGTTCTGATTGGGTCAAACACTTGTAAAATGATTTCTTCACCTTTATTCTCTATGTTTGGCTCGCATTTAGAAGTGTTTTTCGGCTTTAAAAGCTGAAGCAGGGTCAAACACCTGTAAAATCTCGGCTTTTCAGTGCTTTTGTATAACATAAAAGCAGAAGCTTCAATTTGGAGTTCTGCGAAAAGATGTTTTGAAAATACAAGATTATCCTTACCATATTTTAATTTTATTTCAAAAAAATATAATTTTCCTTCATTTATATCATTTTAAAAATAAAATAAATTATAAAATCATATTATTTAATATAAAAGAAATCTAACAAGATCCATTTTGACTACTTTTTATTGTTTAGAATTCTTATTCATATTTTATGTTATGAGTCCTTTATAGTCATTTTACACAACCTCTCATATTAAAAAACACTTCTATTAGTTTTACCGCCAAACACTCAACTGCTTTTTTTGAAAAATACTTATCTAAAAGCTCCAGCCAGAAGATGTTTCTGCAAAAGCTACAGCAGAGCCAAACTAAGCTATTGTGTATAGATGAATAACATGTGGTGCCTCTAAATGGAGAACTCACAGGAGGTAGAGATTTGGTTTGGGGTGCCCCAAAGTGTTACTTTTACCCTTATGCCTAATTATGTTTCTGACTCTATTTCCTTCTCTTGCCTTATATGCCGTTGATATTAGCAATGGATTGTGCCTCTGTTGGAACATTATGTTGTGATGTGTGATTGGTAGATTGCCAAAACTACTTTCAAGTCTCTTCAATTAGTTTAAGAAAGTCAAGAAAGCTTTTGAGTTGTTTCATTATCAACAAGTTCGCATCTGGTGAATTGATTCTCTCTAGGAAGTTTTGGATTGTGACCCACATGGTACTCCTTTATAGATATACATGATTTCTTTGAGGTGAATGTTGAAATGTTTTCTACCCAAACAAAATGTTGAAATGTTCCCCACTAAGATCCTGGAGAGTCCAAATGATAGTTGTAATATATAAAATGTCATATGCGCATGTACTCATTCAAAATTATATGACACTATAATTTAAAGCGCAAGGTCTATTTTTTATTCAAACCTTTTTCAGATTCTTTTATATTATCCAAACTTATTAAAATATTAAGAATTAGTCAAATATTAACGTCCAATTAGCAATTTTGTTAGTAATATTGACTTGGCAACATGATACTGACTTGAAAGAAATACATGAAGGTCAAAATTCTAAAATTTTACTATTTTAACTAAGAAAAGGGTTACAAAATTATTAATGATAACATAAAAATGGCTAATATTTTGATGCATTACGAAATATTTGGATAATTAATAGCATTTTAATAGGTTCGGATAATATAAAAGAATCTGAAAAAAAGTTTGGATAAAAAATAGACATTACCCTAATTTAAATGTAGAACTTTGATTTCGTGTTGGATTTGCCTTGATTGAAAACAAGATCAGTAGATTGTGTATTTGAATGATCACATATAATATTTCCTTTTTATTTGCATAATTAAGCAACTATAAACATATGTTATACATATCCTAGCGCGGAGCGCGGGCAATGAAAACTAGTGAAAGTTTAATGTTCTAGTTGACCTTCTTGCTCGTAATATAAAATACATACTAATAAGTAACAATATTAAATTACATTAAGTCTATTGTCACGTAGGCGCCATCCTTACACTTCCTCGTTTACGGGCGTCACTCTTACGGTCATCTCACGAAGAGCCTGGAAAATAAAAATAGAAAACAGAATGTTATAAAAAACACAATTAATAATTATGCACTACTCAAACCAGTAATTGCTCATTACATGTATATATACGTCGTGTCAACGAGGATCGCCACCCCGTTGATGAAAAGCAACAGCCCATCACTGCCTGTGATGAACAGGAGTGAGTGCCTGTATATAACTAGTATTAGTACATATTTTTCTAGAACCTTATTACTATATGGCTAACTTGAAGTTTTAGGTATTTGGTCTCAAATCGAGTCACACTTATCGGTTTCGGTTAAAACCAAGAAAAACAAACATAACATAACCGTTTATGCCCCTTAACAGTTTGGTTTCAATGGAATGACTTATTTGTTATAAATGTTCGGTTCGTTAAACCAAACCGAAGCCCAACCATATCATTAATTAATTAATTTGGAGCCAAATATCTTAAATCACTAAAAATTTAGTAATAAATACTAATAAATGCACAAAATTATGAATTGCATACCAGAAGAAGAGGAGGCGGATGAGGAAGCTGATCACCCTCTATGGAGGTGAAGAAGTGACGCCGAGGGTGGAGTTGCTACTCCACATCTTCCTCACGTCAGGGCTGTAATGACAATCATCATGAAGTAATTATTTATTTGTTCATAAAAAAACATATCAAAACAAAAAAAATGTTTATCACCCTTTTGTCCCAATTTGAACTATAGGTTGTACTTTGATTTGGTTCGAGTTTCGACCACTCTATGATTTTTATTAATTAAGAATTGAGGCGTTGCTAGAGCTCCATTTTGCAAAAAAAATAAAAATATTCATACAATAAAAATAATAAACACTTACATGGGAGCCATAGCATTGGCAAGTCCCACAACGGTACCTGCACCAAAACATTGTATATACACATTGTATAGGTGAACCTCCACTATGTTACATACAAAACTAAATATATGACAAATACAATGTTATATATCCATTATATATGTCCTATATGACAAGTACAATGTTTATATGTATTATATAACAGGTATAACATTGTATTTGTCATATAATTAATTTTGTATTAATATGACAAATACAATGTTATATATCCATTATATATGTACTATATGACAAATACAATGTTATATATCTATTATATGACAAATATGTATTATATGACAAATACAATGTTATATATCCATTATATAACAAATACAATGTTATATATCCTCAATTAATTATGCACCTATGGGTGCTACTTAAATTGACAAACATTTTTTTTGGTAGAATCAATCGCTTTTATTATTTTTAAAGATAACTTAAATCACTTAAGTCTAGACATCCTCGGCAATCGGCTTTATCCTCGACATAATCACCCGGAGAGACTAAAAAATGAAGTAAAAATAAAGGTTACGTATTGACAGTTATAAATATATATGCATTTGAAAGTAAACGGTTCGTTTTTACCTGTGCAGGTGGATTCTGAAAATCCTCCTCTAGTGGTCCGAACCAGTTGTACAGAATGAGCTCCGCGAACATTAAACCCCACATTATAATGTGAGGAACCTGCAGAATAACTTTGTTTCTCAGTATAAATCATATGTATCC